CACTACACAAATGTAATCTTGTTATTGTTACTGGAGTCTAACCGGCTAAAATGTTTAAGAGTGCTTAAAGGCTAGAGAAATAGGAAAGGAAACACAGTGGGAATCCAAATGAGTAGTTGCTGATTGCTTGAGCAAGCTGCCTTTGAGAATGAGAGGGTTATACTATACCGTACTGTATCACACATCACACTGCACAGCTATTTAGCTTTTTATTATTGGCAGAATAACATTATCTGGGTGGGACACAGGAGTAGACAGACGGGCAGAAAAGCAGAGAGAGAGTGAGTGAGAGAGGTGTTAAAGAGCTTATTCAATCTTGAAGGGTGTTGAGAAATGTGAATGTGGGAATTTGGACATATTTGCAATTGCGTTTGTCATTTGTAAACGGTGATGGGAGATTTAAATACCTTTTTTTTTAAACCGAGGAACCTCGGTCATTTTCAGAGCGGGAACAAGAGAAAGGTTAAAATAGGTCAGATGTGACAGAGGGACACTTAGAATCGTTTTTGTTAGTTAAAATGAAAATGATCAGTCATTTTTTTTTCTGTGTGTGTAACAATTAGAAGTATCAGATGATTTGGGATCTTAGGGTGAATTTAAATGTCCTACCTAATATACAAGTGCATTTCCGTATCATACAATATTTTATGTCAAATCAACTCACTCTGACCTGACTTGTTGAAATTTACCTATTGAATGCACGGTAATAATATAACCCATCACTGTAACATTTTTAAATACTTAACATCACTTCATAATAGGTAGATGCACAGGAGATTAAGTGTTTCAATACATTGTTTGTTTGTTTATAATCACAACTGATTTCCTACTCGTTTATTTCGGGCAAATGATTGTTCAAGTTTTATATATATATACTCGCTGTACCCAATACGCTTGCAACCAAAGTATCCAATATGGAATGTAGATTTCAGTGATACCACTCGCAAACCATTTAACATGCCGTAAACACTGTGTGTACACTTTTAGCAAAACTTAATGACACGTGCGATGAGGTTGTTTGGGTCGTAGCTAAATGGAGTGACCTCTGCTGCTGGGTGTCATTTCGCCGTGTTCTTGCATGCCTTTCTGCGTCAAAGTCCAGCCGTGCTGTTCTTTGTTCTTCAGTTTCATTTAATCAGCCTTCTCTCTTTCGCCTGGCGTTTTTATTTGTCCTTGAAAGGCTTGATCTTCGCTTCTTAGGCATCTTTATCCCTTAAGATTAAGAAAATGTGCTATTGGGAGGACTCCTGTGAGGACTCCTGTTGGGAGGACTCAGTGGGAAGAATCAGTGGGAGTTCTCTCTTTCGTCTTGCATTTTTATTTGTCCTTGAAAGGCTTTTATCTTCGCTTCTTATGCATCTTTATCCCTTAAGATTAAGAAAATGTGCTATTGGGAGAACTCCTGTGGGAGGACTCCTGTTGGGAGGACGCCTTGTTGGGAGGACTCTTGTTGGTAGGACACCTGTTGGGAGGTTTCCTGATTGTTGGAGTCCATACATGTGTGATGAGTTTGTTTAGGTCATAGCCCATCAACGATAGGAGATCCCCGAAAACAAAATACACCCACGACACTCCCCCTCGCAAGACCTTTCCGACGATGTATAAATCATGTCTCTGTGTCAATCGGTTCTTGCGTTATTGGCGGACAGGCAGACATTTCGTCTTTATTAGTATAAAGATAGAGAAATTTGCCAGCAGGTTATTCATATCCTTTATAACTTTTATAAGAAAGGCAAAATTCCTGCGCACACACACACACACATACAAGCCAACAAAAAGGCAGACATACAGTCAGATGCCTTCAGTGTGTGTGTGTGTGTGTAAAATGTGTGTCAGTTGAATATATATATATAAATAAATTTGCCAGCAGGTTATTTATATCCTTTATAACTTTCACAACAAAAGCAAAATCCCTACACACACACACACAAGTTTGCAAAAAGACAGATATATAGACAGACGTCTTCAGTGTGTGTGTGGTGTGTGTTGGTGTGAATATATTTTTCAGGCTGATTGGAAACAAAGACTGATGTAAAAGTTCGAGTCGAGTAGCTGAGGAGAGAGAGAGAGTGAGTGAGTGAGTGTGTGAGAGGAGGAGAAGGAGGAGGGAGGGGAGGGGAGGAGAGGGGGAGAGAGAAAATGAATGAATGAATTGAATGAATGAATCGAACGAATGAATGAAACGGTGATCAGTGGCTGAATTCACAACCCCCCACCCCTTCTTTCCTTCCTTCTTCTTTCCTTCCTTCCATCCACACACTTTTTTTTTGTGTGTGTGTGTGTGTTTGTGTGTTTTGCTTCACAGGTCCAACCAGAAAGGGGAAGAGTGTGTGTGGGTGTGTGTGTGTGTGTGTGGGAGTGAGAGTGAAGGAATGGGGAAAAAAATGAATGAATTAGCAACAGAAACAGGGGGAGAGAGGAGAAGAAGAAAAAGAAGAAGAAGAAGAAGGGGGAGGAGGGAGGGAGGTGTGTGTGTGGGGTGAAGAGAGAGAGACAGAGAGAGAGAAGAGGATAGAAATAGTACGGACGGATGGATGGATGGGATGGATGGGATGGAACGTCTTTGGGAGAGAGAGAGAGAGAGAGAGAGAGTGGGAGTGAATGGGAGTGGGGCGAGGGGGGGAATAAAAAGGAAGAGAGGGAGAGAGAGAGAGAGAGAGAGAGAAGAGAATAGAAACAGTACGGACGGACGGATGGGATGGGATGGAACGTCTTTGGGAGAGAGAGAGAGAGAGTGGGAGTGAGAGTGAATGGGAGTGGGGAGAGGAGGGGAATAAAAAGGAAGAGAGAGAGAAGAGAGAGAGAAGAGAGAGAGAGAGGCTCCTGATCCCGAGCCTGGCGGGATCCAGCAGGTCCAGGTCTTGCTGTTGGCTGGGGGCTGGTGGGAGGACCTCATGCACCAAAGCAAAGGCGTGCGCTTCAGCCTTGACAATGATTTCCTCAGCGATTACGTACAGTGCGTGTCCCTGCGGGGAAGGGCCCCCCTCTGGAGCCATCCTGATGGGTTTTGGGGCCTTGCTTAGATTTCCCATTATTATGTGGACTACCGGAGCGACAGCGCAGCAGTCCGAGACCCGGCAGGTTTGTGATGAGAGGAGAGAGAGAGAGAGGAGAGAGAGGAGAGAGGGAGGGAGGGAGAGAGAGAGGGAGAGGAGGACAGGCGCTCGCTCTGGGGCTGCGCTCGGCAGATAGGCTGAGAGGAGGTGGTGGTGGTGGAGGTGGTGCTGGTGCTGGTGCTGGTGGAGGTGCTGCTGGTGGAGGTGGTACTGGTGCTGGTGCTGCTGGTGGTGGTGGGACACGGCTTCCCAGGGCCGGGGAGAGCCAAGTCGAGCCAAGTCAAGTCCGGGCAAAGACAGGCAGCTCAAGGCAAGGCTCAGCCCCACCAGACACCCACAGCATCCTTTTACTTTGATTTTTTTTTCTCTCTCTTTTTTTTTCTTCTCTCTCTCTCTCTCTCTCTCTTCCTCTCTCTCTCCTCTTCTTCTTCTTTTTCTTTTTTCTTCTTCTTCTCTCTCTCTCTCTCTTCTCTCTCTCTCCTCTTCTTCTTCTTTTTCTTTTTTCTTCTTCTTCTCTCTCTCTTCCTTTCTCTCTCTCTCCTCTCTCTTCTTCTTTTTCTTTTTTTTCTTCTCTCTCTCTTCCTCCCCTCCCTTCCTCTCTTCTTCTCTCTCCTCTCTCTTCTTCTCTCTCCTCTTCTTCTCTCTTCTTCTCTCTTCTTTTTCTTTTTTTTTCTTCTCTTCCCTCCTTTCCTCCTTCCTCTCTCCCTCCTCTCTCCTCTCTTCTTTTTCTTCTTTTTCTTTTTTTTTCTTTTCTTCTTTTTTTTCTTTTCTTTTTTTCTTCTTTCTCTCTTCTCTCTCTTTCTCTCTTTTTTTCTGGGGGTTGGGGGGTTCGTTTGATGAAGGAGGTTATATAGATAGAGAGAGAGAGAGATAGTGTGTGTGAGAGAGAGAGATAGAGTGTGTGTGAGAGAGAGAGATAGAGTGTGTGAGAGAGTGAGAGAGATAGAGTGTGTGAGAGAGAGAGGGAGAGATGCAGAGGAAAAGTATTTGGTGGAAAAATTAACATTTTTAAAATAGGTTTTGTGCTTTTTTTGAGGGGGGGGAAAGGGGGGATTTTTTGGGGGAATTTTTTTTTCTGTCCCCCCCCAAAATTATGATGAATTGATTTTTTTTCTGATTAAAATTCTAGAAGCATTTTCTGTCTTTTTTTTTCCTGAAAAAAAAGGAGAAGCAGTTTTAATTTACAGCCAAAACAATTAAATAACACCACCACCACCCCACCCCCCATATTCCTCTCTCAACTCCTTCCCCTTTCTCTCTCTCCCTCTCCCCCCACCACCAAAAAAAAACAAAACAAACAGACAGACGTTAAAAAAAAAGCTTGTGATTTATTTGTGTGTGTGTGTGTGTGGGGGGGGGGGGGGGGGTGGAGAGGAATTAGTTTTAAACCTCCTTTTTTTTTGCAAATCAATTAATTCGTTCTTCCCTGTATTTATTTGGGAATTTTTGAGAGGGGGGGAAGGAGGAGGAGGAGGGGGGAAAAGGGGGGGAAAGGGGAAACAATCCAATCTCCTTCTATCCCCCCCCCACCACCACCACCACCAATATCACCAGCCCCCCCCCACCCCCTCCCCATTCAAAAAAAAAGCTTTTTTTTTACCCCCCACCCCCCAATTTAGGAAAAAAAGCAAAACATAAAAAGAAAAAAGGTTGTGGATTTTTATCCACCCCCCCCTCCCCCCCCCCCCTCAGTATGAAAAAGTCATTCAGATCATCTCTCCCAAACGATTTGTTGTTTGCAGATTTTTTTTTGCAAGTGAAATAAAGCGGGGAAAAGGGGGGGGGGGAAGGGGGAAAAGAGAGGGGGGGGGAGTGAGTGAGGGGGGGAGTGAGTGAGGGGGGGGGGGAGTGAGTGGGGGGGGAGTGTGTGAGGGGGGGGGAGTGTGTGAGTGAGTGTGGGGAAGGGAGGGAGGGAGAGAGAGAGAGGGGGGTTTAACACCCCCCCCCCCCCACGAAAAAAAGAGGAAAAAGTAACCCTCTTTCTGGTTAGGTTTTGATCTTGAAGGAAGGGAAGGAGAGAGAGAGGGAGAGAGAGAGAGAGAGTGTGAGGAAGGAGAGAGAGAGAGGGGAAAGAGAGAGGAACATTTATTAAAGGATAACAGCGTTGTTGGAGGGCGAAACAATTAATATATACATATATATATACACACACTGTATATATATCTGTATATATATATCTATATATATATCTATATCTATCATCGACCCAAGTCCACAGCCAGGATAGGATGTCTCGCCGAAAACAAGCCAAGCCACGGTCCCTGAAAGGTGAGTGAAATGCTGAATGTGTGAAGTTAATGAAGGAACTCGGTGTTTTTGTGCTGGAGAGAGAGAGAGAGACACAGAGAGAGACACAGAGACACAGAGAGAGAGACACACACACACATACACACACACAGAGAGAGACACACACACACACACACAGAGAGAGAGAGACACACACACAGAGAGAGAGAGACAGAGAGAGAGAGACACAGAGACAGAGAGAGACACACACACAGAGAGAGAGACACAGAGAGAGAGATTGAGAGAGACAGAGAGAGAGACACACACAGAGAGAGACACAGAGAGAGAGAGTCACACACACACACACACACAGAGAGACAGAGACAGAGAGAGAGAGAGATACACAGTGAGAGAGAGAGAGACACAGACACAGAGAGAGAGAGACACACACAGAGAGAGAGAGAGAGAGAGATTGAGAGAGACAGAGAGAGAGACACATAGAGAGAGACACAGACAGAGAGAGAGTCACACACACACACACACACACACACAGAGACTGAGAGAGAGAGACTCAGAGACAGAGAGACAGAGACACAGAGAGAGAGAGAGACAGACACACAGAGAGAGAAAGAGAAGAGAGAGACAGAGAGAGAGACACATAGAGAGAGACACAGAGAGAGAGACACACACACACACACACACACACAGAGAGACAGAGAGAGAGAGACACAGAGAGAGAGAGACAGAGACACAGAGAGAGAGAGAGACAGACACACAGAGAGAGAAAGAAGAGAGAGAGAGAGACAGAGAGAGACTCAGCCTCTCAAGCTTCCCAGGCAGCGCTGTTTCATGCGGGACTGACTGACTGACTGACTGACTGAGCCCCTTTCTCTGTGTGTGTGTGTGTATGTAGGTTAGCGGGGCTGCTGGAGCCGGTGGTTTCAAAGGGGTTTTTTTTTTTGGGTGGGGGGTGGGACAGGCTTTAGTTGTGGGGGTGGGTGGGTGGGTTGTCCTGTCTGTATTTTATGGAGGGGAGGGTTGGTGTGGGGTGGGGGCTGCTGTGTGTCTGGGATGTGAGTGAGTGGGTGAGTGTTAGCAGTCACTGAGCTGGATGTGAGTGAGGGTTAGTCTGAGCTGGGATGTGAGTGAGCGTTAGTCGGAGCTGGGATGTGAGTGAGGGTTAGTCTGAGCTGGGATGTGAGTGAGCGTTAGTCTGAGCTGGGATGTGAGTGAGGGTTAGTCTGAGCTGGGATGTGAGTGAGGGTTAGTCTGAGCTGGGATGTGAGTGAGAGTTAGTCTGAGCTGGGATGTGAGTGAGGGTTAGTCTGAGCTGGGATGTGAGTGAGGGTTGGACGGAGCTGGGATGTGAGTGAGGGTTAGTCTGAGCTGGGATGTGAGTGACGGTTGGACTGTGCTGGGATGTGAGTGAGGGTTGGACTGAGCTGGGATGTGAGTGAGTTAATCTGAGCTGGGATGTGAGTGAGTTAGTCTGAGCTGGGATGTGAGTGAGGGCTAGTCTGAGCTGGGATGTGAGTGAGGGTTAGTCTGAGCTGGGATGTGAGTGAGGGTTAGTCTGAGCTGGGATGTGAGTGAGGGTTAGTCTGAGCTGGGATGTGAGTGACGGTTGGACTGAGCTGGGATGTGAGTGAGGGTTGTACTGAGCTGGGATGTGAGTGAGTTAGTCTGAGCTGGGATGTGAGTGAGGGTTAGTCTGAGCTGGGATGTGAGTGAGTTAGTCTGAGCTGGGATGTGAGTGTGGGTTAGTCTGAGCTGGGATGTGAGTGAGTTAGTCTGAGCTGGGAAGTGAGTGAGTGTTAGTCTGAGCTGGGATGTGAGAGGGTTAGTCGGAGCTGGGATGTGAGTGAGCGTTAGTCTGAGCTGGGATGTGAGTGACGGTTAGTCGGAGCTGGGATGTGAGTGAGCGTTAGTCGGAGCTGGGATGTGAGTGAGCATTAGTCGGAGCTGGGATGTGAGTGAGGGTTAGTCTGAGCTGGGATGTGAGTGAGGGTTAGTCGGAGCTGGAATGTGAGTGAGGGTTAGTCGGAGCTGGGATGTGAGTGAGGGTTAGTCTGAGCTGGGATGTGAGTGAGGGTTAGTCTGAGCTGGGATGTGAGTGAGGGTTAGTCTGAGCTGGATGTGAGTGAGGGTTAGTCTGAGCTGGGATGTGAGTGAGGGTTAGTCTGAGCTGGGATGTGAGTGAGGGTTAGTCGGAGCTGGGATGTGAGTGAGGGTTAGTCTGAGCTGGGATGTGAGTGAGGGTTAGTCGGAGCTGGAATGTGAGTGAGGGTTAGTCGGAGCTGGGATGTGAGTGAGGGTTAGTCTGAGCTGGGATGTGAGTGAGGGTTAGTCTGAGCTGGGATGTGAGTGAGGGTTAGTCTGAGCTGGGATGTGAGTGAGGGTTAGTCTGAGCTGGGATGTGAGTGAGGGTTAGTCTGAGCTGGGATGTGAGTGAGGGTTAGTCGGAGCTGGGATGTGAGTGAGGGTTAGTCTGAGCTGGGATGTGAGTGAGGGTTAGTCTGAGCTGGGATGTGACTGAGGGTTAGTCTGAGCTGGGATGTGAGTGAGGGTTAGTCTGAGCTGGGATGTGAGTGAGGATTAGTAGTCAATGTGCTGGAATGTTAGTTGTGAACACTCAGTCACGTGCTGCCACAGGCCGGTCCAGGCCAAGAGCTGAGCTGCTACTGAAGAGGGGCTGAAGATGGGGTGAGATGGAGAGAAGAGAGAGAGATATGAGTGGAGGGAGGTGGGGTGGGGGGGGTTGGGCTGGGTGTGGGGGAATGCAGTGGGGGGAGGGAAAGCAAAGAGAGAGGGGCGAGAGGGAGAGAGGAAAGAGAAGAGGAAGTGGAGGAGGATACAACCTTATAAATTTCACAACTATAACCAGTCAGTTTCTTCTTGATGACCTGATAGATCTGTCCTGTGCAAAATTCAGACCCTTTAAATCTACACAGACATGATATGCCTCCCCCCAAAAAACCCAAGAGGATATATAAAAATAATATTAATGATATTAACAATATAGTTTGCTTAAAGATCTCTCTCTCTCTCTTAAACTGCAATATGTGTGTGTGTGTTCCGAATACCTCTTTCTATATTCACATTTCCTCACTTTTATTTAATGGAAATTCACCTCCAGTAAGTCTGGGCTGCTTTAATAAGTTGGTGTTTCGGGTGCAAGCCAGTCGGAATAGTTTAAATAAAACGCCAGTAAAATTCACGGGAAGAAAGTAAAATCGATCTCCTCAGATTAAGTGTGTTTTTTTAGTGTTTCTTTTTACAATTGGGACGGAGTTGAAACGTGAGGCTGTTCCAATGGGGTTAAAAGTTGACGCTGGTAAACAGATCATCTTTTAATATGAATGGGGTTATTATTTATTAGAAAAGGGTTTTGAGTCATGAGGAATTTTGATTTAGGACGGCTCACGCTTTGATCGGGGCGCCAGGAATCGAAAGCCTTATCTCAGAGCAATTGAACCAGCTGGATGTGCTGCGATCTAGGAACATCTGATTATAAAGGGAGTTCCACAGCATTTGAATCTGACTGAACTCGCTGAAAACAAACGTGAAGGGAGCAAAATTCTGAATTGCGTTGTCCTGTAGCGTGTTGGTTAGAGCACTCGCAAGCAAGGGGACCCGGGTTCAATTCCTGGACAGGGCAAAATCTTAGGCAAGTTTCTTTACTCCACCAGCCTCTATTTTCCTAGCGGTAAGTAACAACCCAGTTGTTAGTCGATTGGTGGATTGCTTTCCAAGGGTAATAATCCTTCCCCCTTCCCCCCAAAAAAATTATAATGTGGTCACTCAGTCCATGACCGTTTGTGGGACACTGCTGTTTGCAATTGGCTGCCGTTTTTCATCCACAATATATACAGTCAGTTCACTTTACAATATATTCTGTGAAATGCTTCGAGATGTCTTGAAGATGTGATAAGGCTCTATATCAAATGCAAGGATTGTTATTATACATTGAGCAAGTTTGTTTCGTGTAGATCATAAAATAAACTTACGATTCAGTAGCTGTGCAGAATCGTTTGGAAGCAATAGCAGCCGGATGTGGAGAAACGGGGTTTGAGATTATTTCAGTCTGCGTGAGTGTCTTTTGTTTTTTTTAAAAGAAAAAATGTAATTTCTGCATTTGGGGGGAAAAAAAACATACAATTTTTTTTGAAATGAGTAGTTGTGATCAGGAATGAACAGTTAGCCATGCAGGCAAAAGAGATTTAAATGGTCAGGGTCCCACTGAATTCGGAACGTCAATGCGATATGTTGTACTTTTTAATCTAATGGATAATTCCGGTTTTAAGTCCTTCCTTCTCTTTCCATTGGTGATGATGAGATTTTGTTTAATCGAAACAGAGGGGACTTGGAACTGATCCATACACGATTACGCACTTATTGTTTGGACATGGGCAGAAAAGTGTTCATTTTTTTGCATTGAAAAGAGCCCTCCAAGTGTGTACAATGACAGCATTGTCTAGCGTCGCTATGAAATGAATTGATGGTGAACAGAATGAGCCACCTAATGAACAACTTGCCCTATATATTGGACCGTGAGTGGTGGGGGGGGGGAGGGGGGAGATGTAGGGAGCGGTAGAGGGGTCAAAAGTAGCGGCTGACCAATGTTTTTTGCCTTTGTGAATTCATACCCTCCTTGGGCTCACAGATAATAAATCTTATTTGGCAAAATTTGTGTTAACCCTGGCCACATGGCAAGTTGTTCCCGGAGAAGAAAAACAATGAGAAAATATACTGCAAATTCTTGAAACTGGAGAAACGGAGAGTATTTTTTAAGTTCAATTTAAGGGCGATACTTTATAACGATATACACTTGCACTTCCGAACCGCTGACTCAATTTCCAGTCTCAATGGGTGCGGGGGGGGGGCGGAGGTGGTTTTTGTGTGTGTGTGTACTGTGGGTGGGCGAACCAGAATGGAGACGTTAACTAATGGAATGCCTTTCATATCTGCAGCAAATAATAATAATAATAATAATCCTTGCATTTGATATAGCGCTTTTCACGTCGGGAGGACGTCCCAAAGCGCTTCACAGAACACACTGTAAAGTGAATTGACTATATATTTGTGGGCGAACGCGGCAGACAATTGCGCACAGCAATGTCCCACAAACAGTCGTAGATTGAAAATGTTTTGGCAGGGAAAACTTCTGGCAGACCAGAGCAGGGAGATAGACAATGGTTCAAGATTGATTGATGGATTAAGTCTTTTAAAAATATCTAATTTTAAAAAAGCTGCCTTAAACTATCACATTTCCCCTGTCCCCCCTGCCGACGAAAATAAGGTGCTCAATATTAATTCAAGCCAGGAGGGGCTTTCGTTCTCTCCCCCCACTGTTTACAGGAATGTGTGTTCACTTATAGCGCTCCTTTTAACAAAAAAATGCAGTCAATTATTTGCTTTCTGTATAAGACGAAGCACTCGAAAAGACTCCTCAAATCGACCTGTCTCCTAGTACTGTACTCTGTGTGTGTATGTGTTGGTGCGGACGGCAAAGGTCATAACTTTGAGCCTTTTCAAAAAAGAATTGATCTGCCTCTGACTGTAGTTGTATTTCTATCACATTTCAATGTCTCTGTGTATTATCTCAGTCCCACCAGTGAGAACAGACTTGTGTTCTCCCCTCGCGGATTTATTTTCACTGATTCTCCTCCCATAGTTGAACTCTGAAACCTACTGAAGAGCTTACCACTTTAACCTCCCCGCTCTCCACCATCACCACACCACCCCTTTCTTAATAACTCAAATCTATTTATTTTGGAACAAGTTACGTCCTAACACATTCTGGCTATTCACGTCACTTTTGCTATAGATTGAATATTCCACGTGTGTGTGTGTGTGTGTGTGTGCGCCTGTCTGCCTTTGGTGTCTATACACTTAAAAACAGCCAGGTGGAACAGAGTGGGTAGAGAGAGAGAGAGAGATTCATCTGCATAACAGCATGCCAGTGGGAGAAAGTCGAGGTTAGAATAGTCAAACATATTCAAACAGAAAGGTGCAAAAAGAGAAATCTAAATACAAACAACAATAATAATCCTTGCATTTGATACAGGGCCTTATCACGTCTTCGAGACGTCTCAAAGCGCTTCACAGAATACACGAGTGTGAATTGACTCTATATTTTGTGGATGAAACACAAAATATAAAGTCGATTACACAAAATGCACAGACGGCACTGAACAAACTGTGCATCGAGCTGTGGATTATTTCATTCGCTTCAGCTCCATTTCTGTGTGGATGGGTGTGGGTGTCTGTACCCGATGCTGGATCAATAAAATAATACCATGCTCTCTGTCTTCCCATCTGCAATTGTGATGACTTAATAATAATAATAATCCTTGAATTTGATATAACACCTTATCACGTCTTCGAGACTTCTCAAAGCGCTTCACAGAATATACCGCAAAGTGAATTGACTGTGTATTTTGTGGGCAACCAATTGCGCACTGTAGCGTCCCACAATCAGTCGTGGATTGAGTGACCGAATTATTATTATTATTTTTGTTTTCCTTTTTGGAAGGGATAATTACCTTGAATTATGAATTAGTTAAAGTTGCGATGTGCAGTGATAATTTTGCCCATTTATTAAAAATATATAGTTCTTGAAATCTACTTTAGGATGGGAGCTTATTTTTTTAAATGAGAAAAACTTACCCATTGCCTCAGGCGAATACTCCCCAAGTCTCTGCAACCCAACTTGATTCTACTCTGGCGTTTAACCAGTTAAATTTGTTTGCATTCCTTCAGAGCGGATGGAGTGTGTGTGTGTGTGGGGGGGGTGGGGGGATGGAAACAAACAAACCTTGATGAGACCATTATTCTTTCAGCACTTCAAGCCACCTTAGAGAGGAGGCACTTTAAAGACATCTCAAACTATATCAAATAGCCTTTTATAGCCTCAGTTATTTTACGGTTGGGGGGAGGGGGGAAATCTTTCAAGAACAAATAGATAGATTTCTGTTAGGAAATAATATCTTGGGATACTCTACGTAGTTTGGGACCCGGGATGTCGATCGATGATGGAAGATGAACTGGGTGGACTTTGGTCTTCTTTCACCTGGCAAAGTCTTACATTCTTAGGATACGATTTATATAGGACTGGAGGGCACTGGTTAGAAAGACGGGGATTTTGGGGCTGCACATTTGTGCGAAGCTTTTATGCTACAGGAGCACTGAGCGAGTCTGTAATGTGTTGTGTTGTGTGAGCTGCAGCTTGCCCGACACACAGGCTGAACGCCAGTTCTGTTTAAAAATAAACAAATGGGTATATATCGAGTGCAGTAAAGAGGCTGGAATGCAGTGTTGTTTTGTGGTGCTTTTATTTTCCAAAGCGAGACATCAGCTGTGAGTGCTGCTTTCATTCACATGCCTCCCTTCATTCCCTCTCTGTAAATTCTCCTGCACTCTGTCATTCCCCCACTCCCCCCCCGCCCGCCCGCCCACCCGTCACTCTGTGCCACATACCATTTCCATAGCCACTAGAGCAGATGGACAGCTATGTCCCTGAGCTGCTTTGTGACCTGCCAATGGTGCTAGTGGGGTGGGGGTGGGGAGACGTGATAGCAATTCCTTAACTTTAATATTTCCATTGCGTTTCCGACAGGCCACCCCTCACCTCCCCACCACCCATGGCCCCTCTGTTCCTTCCCCTGCCACGACCCTTCCTCCTCATCCTCCCCTCCCCTCATCTCCCCAAGAGCCCAGCTAAAATGGGGAACTCGCCATGTGGGGATTCATGCATTGGTAATGCCAATATGCTGTGCCACCTGGTGCCAGTTTTAATAAGAAAGCCCAGGTACCAGCTCAAAATGCTCCGAGGACAGATGGCCGGAAAAAAAAGAGCTCAGGAATTGCTCTGTGCCCTCCAAATGACTCCTGCTGCGTGGATTTTCAGTGTATCATAGGCGTCTTTTTATGCCTTTATATATTATATATATACTGTACATCTGTCCTTTCGTTAAACCGAGGTACCTTCTGCCTGTTCAGGTGGCGTTAGAGATCATGTGGCGCTATTCGAAAGGAGTAGGGAGTTTCTCTCTCCTGGTATCCTGGCCAACAATCCCCCAGATAAAAAATTGGTCACTCACTCCACGACTATTTGACTCTGCTGTGTGCAATTGGCTGTCGGGTGCATTTTGCCCACAAAATACACAGTCACTCCGCTTTACAGTATATTGTGTGAAGCACTTTGAGGAGTCTCCACGACGTGATAAGGCGCTATATCAAATTCAAGGACTTATTATTATTATAATATATATTTTAAAAAGTGTTTTTTCTGGCTGTTTCCGTTGCCCTAATTCATCGCAGCGAAAAGAGAGATGATAAAAAAATGCTGTGTGAATTATTACCTAACGATGCACACCACACGCTGCGTGGCTGAATGATGACCGTCATGTAAGTGGGGCAGAGAGCACCTGAGATACTGCTGTACAGCTGTTTCTTTCGGTGGAGAGAGAGAGAGAGAGAGAGAGCTGTTTCGCACAGGTCCTTCTCACCTGCAGGAAACCCAGCGAGGAAGGCAATGCCATCTCTCGCTGGAACCTATACATCTTCATTACCGTACTTCTCCCACAAAACACACAGTGAATCCACTTTACAGGATCTTCTGCAAAGTGCTTTGAGATGTCTCAACCCCGTGTTAAGGCGCTATATCAAATCCAAGGATTATTATTATTATATATAAGAAGCGAGGGGAAGATAGAGAATTCTGCTTTCTGTTAGAGAAGGTACCATAAACTGCAGAAGGTATGTTTTCAAGCGCTCTGGGATGCTACTCTGCATGAGGAATGGTATATAAACCCACATTGTTGTTGTTGTTGTTTCTCCTCTCCTGTTGGGTACAGTTTCCCATCCAGTACCTCTCCGCTCCTCTTGTCGATGAGCCTGGGCAGTGAGGTTCTTCCACCGTAAGAGGAGAGGATGTCAGATTTTCATCCGATTTCCTCTGCCATGCGCCTCGCAACAGAGATAGACACCTCATAGCGATCATGAAGCAGGAACCTTGACTCATTTATTTTGTACCCCCGCCCTGCCCTCCCCCCCCTCCCAAACTCCCTGGTGAAGCGGGGGAAATGATGGTGTGGATGGAGAGGATGGGATGGGGGAGAAAACTCTAGCATTAATGCCAAATGCACCACCCGGGTCGGTGCTCTGGCTGAGATCGTTGAGACGTCTCAAAGCACTTCACGGAATATAGTGTAAAGTAGTTTGACTGTATTTTGTGAGCGAAACGCAACAACCACTTGCATACATCAATGACCCTCAAAAAGCCATGGAGGGAGTGATCAATTTTATTTGGGGATTTGTTGGCCAAGACACCGGGAGAGAGAAACTCCCTTCTCTTTTCCAATAGTGCTGCGGGATCTTTAACATCCGCCTGAACAGGCAGATGGGACCTCGGTTTAACGTCTCATCTGTTTCTATTGATACGGGTAGTGGAGGCGGGTGGGGGGTGGTGAGGAATGAAGAACATTCCCTTCATGTTCAACCAGGTGCAAAATGAATGAGTCAGGGTTCCTTCTCTTAACTCCCCCGCCCCTCACTCCTTGTACTGAATTGAGAGCTGGCTTCTGTGGACAGATGGATAGGTTGTTCTTGCCTAAAACCCTGTTCACTTATTCACTCACAACACAGTTTAACAAGTTAAGTTGCTTGCTGCCCACGGCTGGGCTAAATTAAAACTGCGAGGCACCAGTCTGTGTGTTTTATTTTTGCCTGAGCCCTTGTTCCCGTTGTCGTTTGAGCTGGTTAAAGAGAGCCAGACGAGTGCGTTTTCCCATCTCTCCCACGCTTGCTTGCTAACAACTCTCTTTTATTTTCCCTTCTCCACACAGTAGAAGAAAATGAGACGGAGGAACTGCATCCTACTGCGGGGCAGACAGGCACTCAGAGCGGTAATGTTATAATCTCTAATTAGCAGTCATTTATCATTGAAATAGATTTGGCAAGATTTTGCATTTGACCTGCTATTGTGGTGACACTGTGGAAAATTTGGTTTTGTTCATCAGACTGAAGATGTGTGTCTCACACACGCACAACACACACACACACACACGCGCGCACAACATACACACACAAACGCATCACACATACACACATACAACATACGCACAACATACACACACACGACACACACACACGTGCCACACACATACACACACATAACACACACATAACACACACAACACACACACTCACATATATACACAAATACACGCGCACAACACACACACACTCACATATACATATACACATGCACACACAACACACACACGACACACACACACCCATGTGCACAGACTTGCACACACCTGATATTTATACTCGCTTCCACAGTTATTTTTCATTCAAGAAAAAATCAGGAGTATTTATTTGGAAATTTGCCGGATGAATCTCAATCTGTTGTTATTGTTTATTTTTATGGCTTGGCTTTAATTCTTCCATTTAATTGGGTGAGTGGGTGGTGGTGGAGGGCGGGGGGAGTGGATGTTGACGTTGATGTGGACAGTGAGAATCCAGCAGCAAGCGTTTAAGCAGAGAAAACTGTTGTGTTGCATTTTTACAGATATATATATCTACATACATAGTGAATGCATCGACCCAATGCCTTCTCCATCTGTCTCCAGTCTGCAACTGAGCCTGATAACAGCTGGAACACCTCACCTATGCATAGACGAGATCTGTTCCGAGTGTTTAACGAGTCCAGAAATATCTTGCGGTTGATATTGTTAAAAACTCGGGTATCGGGACCTCCCACAAATGCTTACTTCAAGTGAAGGTTGCCGTTAAGACTAGATTGTGCGTGGAATCTTAAGCCAAAGTGGGGGGCAATCTCCAGGCTTGAATTTCGCACGAGATGTCAGTTCAGTGCTATATTGTCAGCGTGGGTGATAATAATAATGCTTACATTTGGTAAAGTGCCTTTCAAGGACATCCCAAAGAGCTTCACAGGATAGACTGCAAAGTGGAGTCAACGAACACAGGTGGACGTGGCAGCCATTTTGCACGTAACTATTTCCCACAAACATCCATGAAGAGAGTGATCAGTTTTGTGTGGGGGATTGTTGGCCAGGACACCGGGAGAAACTTTAAATACTCTTTTCTTTTTGAATAATGCCATTGGATTTTTAACGTCCACCTGAACAGCCCCAGACAGGGCCTTGGTTTAACATCCGAAGGACGGCACTACAACAATACAGCACATCCCCAGCACAGCACTGGAGTGTCATCTTAGATTATATGAGTTCAGAGTCCTGATGTGGTGCTTGAATCTACAACCTTCTGACGTTGGAGTGAGGGCGCCACCAACTGAGCCAGGCTGACACACAGTGTCAGGAACAGACACATAATGCCAGGACCCATCTCGCAAAGACAGTCCAATTTCTCTCTGTATTTTTGATTTAAAAATAAATTCACCACAAGCTTATTGGTTTCTGACCCTGACCGACTTTTAGCACTGTGACGGGTAACGGTCTGGTAAATGGCTATTAGGTAACTTCCAACAGTCATCGAATTTCCTCTCTCCCCTCAATAAAATTGGTCTTTCACTTTTCTGCTGTTTGTTATGTGCAAATTGGCTGCCGCGTTATATGGAATCACTACGGTTTTCAGTGCAAAACGTCCTTGCAACGTGAAAGGCGCAATATCAAATGCAAGGATAATTATTATTATTTTTATTTTTTTATTAACAAACCATTCTTTACACAGAGAATGTCCTTGGAATGTGTAATTCCCTGCGGCATTCAGAGTCCGTGAGTCCTTTTCAAAGGGTAGCTGAGAGAGGGTTGAAGAGGAATGGTGTGAAAAAGGGTGGGAGGAGAAAGCGGAGATTAGATGAGGCCAGTATCCTACAGAGAGGAAACACCAGCACGGGCATGATGGACCCCATGGTCTGTTTCTGTGCTGTAATGTTCTGTGATTCTGTTGGAGGGATTAAGCATCTGCTTCATGGTACATGCTGGGATCTCTCCAGGTGCCAAAGCACTCTGCTTTCGAGTGCATTAATTGGCCCTCATTTGCCATCGCAAGGACTGATGGAGCCGACACAAGGTCTATAATTGCCGTCTGCACTCACTTACACAGAAGGGCCACTTGGGTGAGGTCGTACAGGGAGCATAGTGTACGTGAAACTGTCCCTTTCCTCAGACCAGAGCATTCAGGACAGGAGGAGGAGGAGAAAGCTGATCTGAAGCTTTCTTATACAGAGAGACTCTGTTAGAAAACCCAGGTTGAACCAGGTTCACTTGTCATAGTGATAACCACAACAATAACAAATCATTACATTTGATACAGCATGTCGGGAGGATGCTTGCACAGGATTCACTGTAAAGTGTAGGGACTGTGTGTTTTTACAAGGCAGAATGACTCAAAACACTTCATAGTTTTTTGTCAGTAAATGTAGTGACTGTATATTTGTAGGCGCGTGCGACTGTCATTTTACACACAGAAAAATCCCACAAACACCTGCAAAGTGAATGTCCAATTTTTATTTGGGTTTTTTGTTGGCCAGGACTTTTTGAATAGTGCCGCGGGATAGTTAACGTTCACCTGAACAGACAAATGGGATTTAGGCTTAATGTCGCATCTGAAGGACAGCACCTCCGACCACTGCGCTGGAGGTTTGGCCTTGATTCAATGCGATTCCAACACTTGCTGGTAAGTGTGCGTGTGGTGTGACGGGTCAAGACTTATTGAATCGTGGGAAACGTAGTCTTGACCCATCACCGCATGCGCACTCATCATATCCGCAGTGTAGGTTATTGATTAAATCCAATTCTATACGGATTGTACAGTTTGCCCACAACTTGGACTTTGTGTTAGTCATATTAAATGTTATGGTCCCGACTAATACGACTTATGTAAGTTTTAAGATCATCATTAAAAATTTCATGGCACAATTCGAAAAATGATGGGAGTCTACCCCGGAGTCCTGGCCAACAATCCCCCTGATAAAAATTGGTCATTGAATTCATGGCAGTTTGTGGGATGTTCACGTGCACAGATTAGCTGCCGCTTTCACCTCCAAAATATTTTTGGAGTAATTATACTTGACAGTAAATCCTGTGAAGGGCTTCAAGATGTCTCGACAAAATGCAAGAATTATTATTATTATCCTTGTGAAGCTGCTGTGTGCCTTTAGTGTGTGTTTTATCCCTTTTAATTAAGCATGAAGAAGGAAATGAGAGTTGAATTTTTTTCTCTCTGATGTTTTATCGTTAATTCTGTTCGTATTTAACTCGCATTTTATGAAAGTGACGTATATTTCTCTGCCTTTTAATGGCTGTGAAGTGAAGTACCACTTTCTCAGAATAGCTTGCGAAGAAAGGCGCAAACTTTTACTTCCACTCCAACCCAAACGGGGAGCTGTAACTTCAGAGTTTGTTTCGTCTTTCAATTAATGCAAAGCTAAACGTGGACTGGATCTATTGCTTTTGGCAGTACCCCAGGCAAATTCAAGACTCTGTACACATAAGTGGCTATTTCTCCAAGCAAAGTCACTCTGCCTGATGAGATTTGGGTCTTTACAAAGTAATGTTGTGTTGCTCTGTGAATCATTACTTTTCTTCAAAGCGTGTTTAGTGTCGCAGGCGTGCGACTCACTTGGGAGCCTGTGATAATTTGCTGTACTATAGCTTTAAGACAACTTTTTGGGTGTTGGTGCTCCACTGCAGAAGGCTCAGATGATGAGTGCAGTTTGGAATTCAGCCACTCAGATCGACAGCAACAACTTGCATTTAATCGGCCCCCTTCACGTAGGTCATAGGATAATAACTTGGATCGTTTCACCATGGTGGGTTAGCCAGGACCTGGGGAGAAACTCCCTTTTCTTTGCGAATAGCGCCACGGGGTCTTTAACATCCACCTGAACAGGCAGAAGGGGCCTCGGTTTAACGTTTCATCCAAAGGACAGCATCACTGACAATGCAACCCCTGCCTGCCCTCCAGAGACTATGTGATTCCAAAGTGGGGCTTGAACCCACAACCTTCTGACTCAGGCGAGAGTGCTACCACTGCGCCAGGCTGACGCATATCTTCAGCTGTGCCAGCGGTTAGTCTTAACAATCTAAAAAAAAATCCTTTGTCAATCCAATGTACTGAACTCTATGGTTACATCTGCGCTTTGCATTAGCACTGAACACATCCCACCACCCCCAGCTTGGGTGCTCGTCCAAGCATTGTCAAGCGCTCTGAGACGTTTTTCTGCCGTGAAAGGCACTGTGTAAAATGTGGCTTGCATTGTATTTTTTTTTAAAAAGCAAAAAGCCCCTTGTTTTAATTGTTGACCCAAGCTACGACTGATTTAAAAATCCGACAGGCTTTTTAACGCTCAGTATAAGGGTCTCTGTGTGGAAGGGAGAGAGCAAAAACGCGAGGAGTTGGGATTCTTTAGCTGCTGAGAGGTAGGGAAGCCAGATGTTATCGAGATCAAGCTGCGCCGAGGCCAAGTTAGGCGTCTGGCTTTGCTCTTTGAATCAAAGCTTGAGCCAAAGTTTTATTAAAAAAAATTGGAATAGCCCATGTTCCCCATTATAAAAACCCGAGACAGAAAATCAAAGGACTGTGCTCGAGCTTTTGAACATATCTTCTTACCTGACCCCCATTGCAATACAATCAAACTAACTTGTCTGTTTTTTTTGAACAATAAAGGTGATTGATGGCAATAATGATGGTGTGAACTCCCGTTTACTTGCTTTAACTGGTGGTTTCAAACACAATCGACAATATTATTACAATAATAACAGCATTTAGACAGCACCCTTCACATGGGGCAGTGTCTCAGAGCTCTTAATAAGTCTTAAAACAGCAACAACAATAAATTACATTTGTACAGTGCCTTTCATGTTGGGAGGATGTCACATAGCGCTGGAAGAATAGTCCTTGCGTTTGAAACATC